TCTGTTGAGCTGAATAAAGGGTATTCAACCAAGTATTAAATTGAAATAATGCGGATTTATTGTTTTGTACGAATACTTTTTTCACCCCGAAAAGTGAACATGTTGCATTGTTTTTTGTTGCATTGAGATTTAATTTCTTTTGATAGTATTTTTGAATACTATGCGTCTCTATACATAATTTAAATCACTTTTCCTGTTAAGTTTGTGTACTTACATACATTAAAATATGATTTTTCAAGTGTACGAATATTTATTTCCCCCCACTGTATGTGCATGGATCGTGTATGGATGTATGTGTAGTGACCGTGTATGTTTGTGCAATGTTCGTATGTGCATTGGCGCGCGTATTGTGCGCAATAGTTCATCTCCAAACTCCGGTGCTCTTCACTTGCGATCGATGGCAGGAGACCTTCAGCTGCTTACTGTGAACTGTGTGTTGTATAGACGGTAGTGTGTGTTGTATAGATTAGTATGGGCTGTAGTGTGTGTTGTATAGATTAGTATGGGCTGTAGTGTGTGTTGTATAGATTAGTATGGGCTGTAGTGCGTGTTGTATAGATTAGTATGGGCTGTAGTGTGTGTTGTATGGACATAGTGTGAGTTGTGTGATGTTGAGCTAGCATGAATTGATGCAACAGTCAGCGTGAAAGGACATTTCCTTCTTTTCTTTTCGCAAAGCGAGCTGAATATACTTCAGTTCAAATAACCCATTAAATCCGAGCTTCCATTTATATTGTATCCCATAAAAGGAAATGTTTCTTCTCGTAACCAAACAACCGCCTATTGAGCGATGGAGTTTCGTAACCGAAATTAATATAGACTCGTAATAGACGCCTAAATACATTTTTTACAGATTCAAATAAATCACTTCAGTTATGTCTGTAGCTAGAGAAATGTTGTGCTGTTTTACTAGTAAGCTATATAACTGCTACGCGCAGAAAATGTCACTGTTTGGACAATGTGGCTCGTACATTTTTCCAAGTGGAACCGCAAACCAGTTTCAGGAATGCTTGCGCTGTGTTTGACATCACACTCTATTGTTTATAGATTTGAATTATTGCACACGTATATATATATGAAACGTATGTATGATTCATTTACATGAATGGAATTACAACCTACGTCAAGCAAGGCAATGTATTTACGCATTAAATTCTTTTGGGCGCGCAAAGATCTCTCTAAAAACGCACAGTTCAATACAGCAATTTCAATTAGAACTGATATTCAGATTATAATATTACATTTTTAATCCAAATTCTTATAATATATCCGCGCTTTTCAGTAACTTTTACAGCGTTTAGGTGCATGTTCATTACTACATAGAATATTAGACACGCTAGTCATAGGATCTATGACCTAATTCTTTCGTAAATTGTTAGGACTCATAACGAATTTCAGTCCTTATCCAACATTATTCAGCTTGGCAGTTCTATTCGGAAATTGTTTTTTCAATTGTTATTGCTGATGATCGGTAGACTATATAAGCAAAATTGACGCTAATGGTGTTAGTAATTAGTTATTTACTCGGTGTAAAGGTGGTTGTAATGAATAGGATCTTCAACAATTTATGAAGAAACGTTAAATATATGTGTAAATTCTGAAGGTTGTATAACAGAGTTACGGGTACGAAGGACACGCGTCTGTATTGCTTACTTGCATTCGGTTCTAGGATGATTTTAATTATACCATTGAACTTACATGGTCATTTTTATTTTACCGGCCGTGCTTTGACACCCAAATTTATTTGCGTGAACTGGACAATATTGTAGCTTGGCGGCAACACGCTTTTCAATAAGATTTTAATTGTCCGACATGCGGTTGAAACGTTGACCTCTTCCTGCACTCTATTTTTTGACCACGGAGTAGCGCGTACAGTCGTTGCTTTGAAGCTAACGAAAACTAAGTAGATTATTTTTCTTGCCCCCCTTAGTTTTCGTGTGGAGGGACTTGATTTTACAGTACATTTTTAAATTTAATTACCTACAATGTGAATTTGCTTGGCGTTGTTACAGTTGAATTTTTCCTCGAAATTGTAGCTTTGTTAACATTTTTGAACATAAAAAACAGTATATAATTCTTTTGCTGCGGTTGCCCGAATTTTGTCAATTCATTGCGGCTGCGTTTTATCTATAAAGCTACACCATGCATCACAGTTGCAGGTATGATTATCTTCCCGTTACTGTTTATGTTGAACTTGTATGTTATTAATATATCTTCGTCACTGCAGGTGTTGGTGGGCGAGACGAGGTGGTCTGACGAGCGCGTGAGCGAGCTTCGTCAGCTCGCCACTGAGATTCAGTGCAACGTCGCTGAAGATCCTTCGTACGAGAACAGCACGTCACTGCTCACCGAGGTTGAGAGACTCGGCAACCGCATCAACAGCCTCACCGACGCTGTTCACCATCTTAGTCGTCAACTGTCACAGCCAAAAGAACAGTTAGCACTCGAGAGTAGTATTCCTGAAGCAGACCTTGAGATCAGCCTTCAGAAAGTTAAGCAGGTTCTTGATCAACCTCCTCCTTTGCCCAAGGAGACTTTACAGCGAGCAGAGCAACTTAAAGAACAACTTGTCTTGCTGGGATCCTACCCCAGGGGCTTGCCTTCTGCTCTAGAAGAGGAGGAGACGGGAATTCAAGCCCTGCCTCAGTGGCAAGAAGCCCTCGAAGGAACCAACTCCCAGTATCAAAAAGTTCTTGCTGGAATATCGGGTGACGACGAACAGCTCTTTGCGGCTGTAAGAACTTGGGCTCAATATGTGACTTCCGTGGAGGAAGGCTTGAAAGCGCCCATTCCTGCGTCGAGAGAAGGACTCATGGAAGAAGCCCGTCTCTGCCAAGTCCATCGGTCAATATTGACCACCCAAAGTTCGGTGCTTAGTTCGCTGCAGCAGCGAGCATCAGCCCCTGACGCGTCTGACAACCTTAAGACCCTGAATCATCAGCTGGCAGACCTGCTTACTCGCCATGACAATGCCTTGGCCCTCATCGTCCCTAAGGAGCAGATGCTGTTCAACACCATCACTCTCTGGAACAAATATCGTGTCAAGGTAGAACAGCTCCGCACATGGCTGGTGAACTTGGAGCGCGAGAAGCAGTTACTCCACTTGCGGCAAGTCGCCCGACGTTCGCTCGACCATATCATTGACAGACTCAAGTCGCTGCTAACTCAACTGGAGAAAGGGCAGCCGAAACTCGAGGAAGTGTCGAGTTTGTGTGATCAACTCATGGAAGCGTGCGACGAGAGTCTACATGACGTGCTCAAGGCAGAGCTGAGTTCTCTGACCCAACGGCACTCCAACCTCCGGTCCATGATCAACACATGGCTGGACCACCTGCAGAAAAGTTCAAAGTTGTGGACTCAGTTTGAGAATCTCCATGACACCCTTAACTCAAAACTTTTGGTTCACCAAGAGCGTTTGCCGCTTCCACTTCCTACCGAGGCTACCGAAGTGCGCGACGCTATAAAATATTGCGAAAACAACATCCGAGAGCTTGCAGAACTAGAGGATGCCTTCAACGTACTCAGGAAAACCAGAGATGATCTTCAGGAGTCGATCATGGTGCCTGACTCACGGCTTCTAAATCACAGAGTCTCTCGAATACTCCAGCTGAGAAGCGAGCAAATTTATAGTTACAAACAGAAAATCGTCTGTCTGGAATCGCGGCTCGAGTTGTGGCAGTTGTTCCAGGTGAAGTACGCGCAGTTTATGGAATGGGCTGATGACATCGAACGCAGGATAGAAGGAGCTAGTGAGCAATACCTGGAAGCCCTAATCAGGAAACTCGAGCACGAGTATCTCGACGAAATTGATCTTAAAACCATTTCCAAATTGTGGCTTATATCTGAAGGAGAGGAACTACTCAAGAACAGTAGTGCGGAACAGGCCAAGGATATAGAAAGTAAAATGTCGTCCGTTAAAGATACCTGGGCTAGAATTAATGACAAATGCCGAGCCCGGAAGTCTAAGTTAGTTGACATACTGCGAGCGATCGGCGAAACGGAGGATTCTTTGGCCGAGCTGAAGGATTGGTTGTACAGAATAGAATGCCAGCTCAATAGCCCCATCCTTTTCCAGGAGTGCAGCAAAAAGGAAATAGATTCCCTGCTCAGTTTGGAAGAAAATGTGAGAAAGGAAATTGAGCGGCGAAGCTCGACGGTGTCGTCAGTTTTGAATTTGTGCGAGACGATCATGCGTGACTGCAGTGAAGTTGAAGCCAGCGGAGATACAGACTCGCTTACCGTGGCCTTCAACAGCCTCGAGAGACGTTGGGCTGACATTTGTTCGCAGGCTGCCGGCCGCAAAAAGTTCATCAAGGACACCTGGCCTTTGTGGGAGGAACTAATCAAACTCCACGCAGACTTCATGGTATGGCTAACGCGTATCGAGGAAGAGGTTGAGGCCAGCGGGATCAGCGATACGACACTTGTTCCGTACGACCAACTAGGCGATGTCAACAAAAAGATGCACGCTCTACAGCGTGAGATGCACGAGCATACTAAGGACTTTGAGGTTCTGAACCACGCGTACCGAGGTGTGGCCCGGTTCTGCGGCCCCCAGAACCGGCTGGACCAGAGCGGCTCCATGAAGCAGAGGATCCAAGATGCCAACACGCGATACCACAAACTCAACAGGTACATAGCTCAGATAATCAAGCGTTTGAAACGAAGCTCCGACGCCTACAATGAATTCAATCTGAAAAAGGATCGCTTTGTGACGCTACTGGCAAGCTACAACGCGCGTCTGGAGGCTGTCGAAGACAACAAAGACCAAAAGGACTCTAGCAAGAAGAAAGCAGTGAACGTGGTCGTGGCTGATCTCAAGAAGAACAAGAAGGAGATGGGGGAGTTCAACGGCCTCATCGAAGGCTTGTTCCAGCGGAGCAGCTGTCGGGACGCACCCCGCGTGGAGGAGGAGCTTGAGCCTTACGCACGCGAATGCCGGCAGCTCCACGCACGGCTCACCAGACTCGCAGCTCGTTATGCCATCGACGTGACAGACGTGCTCATCGTCGTGCGTTATATACTTTCACACACTGATACCTCCTCTATATTGCCTGGTGACGAAGTTGATGATACGTCTTCCGTCGCCGACGCTGGTTCCTTTAGCTTATCTGACGAAGGTGACACGTCGTTGGTTCCCGACGATGAAATGGAAGCACTGGAGCCTACCATTGGCTCCCTGAACGTCGCCATCGTCAGCGGCGCCGTCGGGAGGTCCGTAGAGAACGAGCTTAGGGCTGCGCTGGAGGAGACGAAGAGGCTCCTCGTCATCCTGGACGCGGCTCTCGTCTCTCCCACCCCCGAGGGCGACGACGTCGACCGCGTCTACTACGACTTCGTGAGTGACGTGGTGACGTGACGAGTGAGACGAGCGTTTAGTGTACGTCGTGTGACATAAGACGCGCGTGAAGTGTATGTCGTGTGACGTGACTAGTGAGACGCGCGTGAAGTGTATGTCGTGTGACGTGACTAGTGAGACGCGCGTGAAGTGTATGTCGTGTGACGTGACGAGTGAGACGCGCGTGAAGTGTATGACGTATAGTGATGGACGTGTGTGACGTTGGTGTAGTGGGCGAATAATACGTAAAATGCGCGTGAGTGACGTGTGGGGAGTTGACGTGTTACCTCGTCTGTGCAGACGAAGCAGGTGGCTGAGAGCCGCGCCTGCGTGCAGCTGCTGCAGGCGATTGCTGAAGGAGGCGCAGATGACGCTGCAGTGCAGCACCTGCAGCCTGATGTGCAGAGTGTGCAGCGTGAATGGTGCAGACTTGAACAGCTCGCGGTGCAGAAGCAGCAGCGCATCAAGGAGAGCAGGTGAGTCGGAGAGGGACTTAGTGGGCCAGGGTAGGCTAGGTGGGTTGGAGGTGCTCGAGTGGGTTAAGGAGAACCTGGGTGGGTGGGAGAGGGCTTTGGTGGCTCAGGGCAGCATTGGTGGGTTTTGGGAACCTTAGTGGGTTAGGGAAGCCTTGGTGGGTTAGGGGAGCCTTGGTGGGTTAGGGGAGCCTTGGTGGGTTAGGGGAGCCTTGGTGGGTTAGGGGAGCTTTGATGGGTTATGCGAGCCTTGGTGGGTTAGGGGAGCCTTGGTGGGTTAGGGGAACCTTAGTGGGTTAGGGAAGCCTTGGTGGGTTAGGGGAGCCTTGGTGGGTTAGGGGAGCTTGGTGGGTTAGGGGAACCTTAGTGGGTTAGGGAAGCCTTGGTGGGTTAGGGGAGCCTTGGTGGGTTAGGGAAGCCTTGGTGGGTTAGGGAAGCCTTGGTGGGTTAGGGAAGCCTTGGTGGGTTAGGGGAGCCTTGGTGGCTCAGGGCAGCCTTGGTGGGTTAGGGGAACCTTAGTGGGTTAGGGAAGCCTTGACTTGGTGGGTTAGGGGAGCCTTGGTGGGTTAGGAGAACCTTAGTGGGTTAGGGAAGCCTTGGTGGGTTAGGGGAGCCTTGGTGGGTTAGGGGAGCCTTGGTGGGTCGGGGAACCTTAGTGGGTTAGGGAAGCCTTGGTGGGTTAGGGGAGCCTTGGTGGGTTTAGGGGAGCTTTGGTGGGTTAGGGGAGCCTTGGTGGGTTAGGGGAGCTTTGGTGGGTTAGGGAGAACCTGGAAGGGCGGGAGAGGGCGAGGCGATTCCTGTTGAGGTGTCGTACAACAGGCGTCGTACGCTGGGCAGTAGTCAGAGGGCGCTGACGCCTACGGTACACGTCAACTGATGCGGAACAAAAAGATCTCAATTTTAAGCGTTTCAAATCAAATAGATTTGAAACGGGCAACATGCATATCTCAGTTGAAGAAGATTTTGAATGATGAGCCGAATATATTTATAGTTATCGTGTTGTATGAAGAAATGCATCGAGTATTTTCCGGAGATGATTAAAGTGGCGAAGCGTAGTTATTCTGTCCCTACCCAGCGTGATTTGATTTAATACTTTTTACAGACGAGATTCATGGGTTACCTAGGGTTAATGTTCGTTATTGGAGAGTTTTGCATATCTTTTAAAGGTAATGCTCGTTGAATAAAATATTCCTATTGGTAACGCGTTTTGTTCGGTTTCAGTGAAACGGCGTCATCGACTTGTCCTCTGTGCTGCCGGCGCAACTGGCAGCAGTTCGGCCACGACTGCTGGCGCCTGGAGCAGTGGCTGACACACTCCGAGGCCGCGCAGGTGAGTCACGGCATCGATACAATTTCCTTACTGTTGCATTTATATCAAATGATAAGATTTATCTTGCAATATATCATGATTTTATTAATTCTACAAAAAATATCAGAAATCTTTATAAATAATTCCAACTAATAAACCTGTCAAATGCGATTTACATACTCAAGTCGAAGGTTTCTTAATACGATAAAGTGTTCAAAAAATGTATACATTATTTTAACGACTAAACGTGCCGAAGTTTGATCGAAAATATCGTGCCAGGCGTCTAGGGGCGCGCTATCGTCGGCCATTGAACAGCTGGAGGAGGCCGCCCAGGACCACCGGGAGTTCCTGCTGGAGCTGGACAGTCACAAGTCCGTCATCCTGGGCCTCAATGTGATAGGGGCCCACCTGGCCCAGCACACCCGCTCCCGGACCCGCGGAGACCAGGTAAATGGGCCCAGGCATTTCATATGACTCGTATATATCCGTAGCCGGTTATAGGTAACTGTTTAACTTGCAATAAAACTAAGTACCGTATATAGATAATAAAAAAGCGGATAGACCCTTAATAGCCTTAAGTGACTTTATTTGAAACTTCCCTTGATGTATTTAAAAGAAACTACGCCTGTAAAGTACTTAATTGACTAAAGCAATGCTTCCCTAAATGTAATGCATGCGCAACAGCCTCTTTAGCCTCAGCGCTGGCTGTTAACGTTAACTGTTTATGTAAGCTATCCACGTTAACTTTTAACTTAAGAAGCAAAATAATTACTAGATGATATAATAATATATAATTTATAGATATAATAGATAATTAATAAGATGTAAATAATTTATCACGTACAAAATTTGTTGCATCGATAATATATTGCACGATGACTGATCAATTTTGTCCTACAGGTGCGGGATCGCATGAACCGCAACAACGCGCGCTGGGAGGCGGTGTGTCGCAACGCTGCCGCCTGGCAACGCCAACTCCAGACCGCGCTGCTCTCCAACACCCAGTTCTATAAGGTGGGTCCGTATGACACACTTCTGAAAGATGGGGCGTTCTGACACACTTATGTGAGGTGGGGCTTTATGCAATACTCCATTCAGTACGGACTGTCACGTATTCCTGTCGTAGCGTCTCTTATTCGTGCCTCAGTGTCTCGTATTCGTGCCTCAGCGTCTCGTATTGAGACGTCTCGTCTCGTGCAGACAATAGCTGATCTGCTGGGGTGGAGCGCAGATGCCGAGACGCAGCTGCGAGACATCGAGCAGGAGCAGCTGATGCACGAGACCCTCATGGAGCAGCGCATCGAGGCAGCTGATGAGGGTGAGTAAAACACTGCAGCTGATGAGGGTGAGTAACACTGCAGCTGATGAGGGTGAGTAACACTGCCGCTGATGAGGGTGAGTAACACTGCAGCTGATGAGGGTGAGGAACACTGCAGCTGATGAGGGTGAGTAAAACACTGCCGCTGATGAGGGTGAGTAACACTGCAGCTGATGAGGGTGAGTAACACTGCAGCTGATGAGGGTGAGTAACACTGCAGCTAATGAGGGTGAGCAACACTGCAGCTGATGAGGGTGAGTAACACTGCAGCTGATGAGGGTGAGTAAAACCGCATCTGATGATGGAGAGTAGAGACTAACCCTATAAACCCAGCTTATCCCCCGCTGTTGTAACCTACTCCTCGGATTCCCAATCTGCTTGCAGGTAACGAAGGCGAGTCACCAGTCCCCTAACCACCCCGCCCCCTCTGCTCCCCCTAATTCCCCAAGACCACCTCTTGTAACCCCCTCCTAACCCCCCCGTCTGCGTGCAGGTGGGCAGGAGGCGCAGGCGGCCCAGGAAGAGGCGGAGCTACAGGTGCGCGTGGCGCGAGTGCTAGCCGTGCGCGCCGAGGCCGAGCGCTGCGAGCCGCGCGTTGCGTCCCTGCACCAGGCGAGTATTTAGGGACTTGTGACGACCTGGGGACCAGTCCCGCCTGGCGAACTAGAGACCAGTCTCGCCTGACGAACTAGGACCAGTCCCGCCTGGCGAAATAGTGACCAGTCCCGCCTGACGAACTAGGGATCAGTCCCGCCTGGCAAACTAGGGATCAGTCCCGCCTAGCGAACTAGGGACCAGGCCCACCTGGCGAACTAGGGACCAGTACCACCTGGCGAACTAGGGACCAGTCCCGCCTGGCGAACTAGGAACCAGGCCCGCCTGAGGCACTAGGGATCAGTCCCGCCTGACGAACTAGAGACCAGTCCCGCCTGACGAACTAGGGATCAGTCCCGCCTGGCAAACTAGGGATCAGTCCCGCCTGACGAACTAGGGAACAGTCCCGCCAGGCGAACTAGGGATCAGTCCCGCCTGGCGAACTAAGGACCAGGCCCACCTGGCGAACTAGGGACCAGTCCTGCCTGGCGAACTAGGGACCAGTACCACCTGGCGAACTAGGGACCAGTCCCGCCTGGCGAAATAGGGACCAGTCCCGCCTGGCGAACTAGGGACCAGTCCCGCCTGGCGATCTAGGGACCAGTGCCACCTGGCGAACTAGGGACCAGTCCCGCCTGGAAACTAGAGACCAGTCCCGCCTGACGAACTAGGGATCAGTCCCGCCTGACGAACTAGGGACCAGTCCCGTTTGACTAACTAGAGACCAGTCCCGCCTGACGAACTAGGGATCAGTCCCGCCTGACGAACTAGGGACCAGTCCCGCCTGACGAACTAGGGACCATTCCCGCCTGACGAACTAGGGATCAGTCCCGCCTGGCGAACTAGGGACCAGTCCCGCCTGACGAACTAGGGACCAGTCCCGCCTGACGCACTGGGGACCAGTCCCGCGTAAAAAATTTTTGTCCTGTGCTATTTTACTGCCGCCAGGATCACAAGGGTCCCGCCTCTATCCTTCGTTTTTTTATCTGATTTAAAGTGACCCGTTTTTTATTTACCTATTTCTAAATATGCTATTTAATGAATGTTTAAAATAATTGTTTAATAAATGTTCAAATATTTTTAAATATGTTGACCCGTTTATGGCGGTATTGCAGACGGCTCAAGATCTACTGCAGACGTCTGAGTCCAGCAGCTGTAAGGAGGTTCAGGAGCAGCTGCAGCAGCTGTCAGGCAGACTGCAGCTGCTGCTCACACTTTGCACGCAGCTGCTCAGGCGCATGAGTGAACTGCTCGGTCGGGACTACACACAGAGCCTCGGCTCTCTGGCGTCAGAGGGGGTCAGTGTTGTGTGTGTCTCCGTGTTGTGTGTGTCAGTGTTGTGTGTGTCAGTGCTGTGTGTGTCAGTGTTGTGTGTGTCGGTGTTGTGTGTGTCGGTGTTGTGTGTGTCAGTGTTGTGTGTGTATCAGTGCACGCATCAGTGTGCACTGATGCGTGCGTCAGGGCTGCGGGTGTCAGTAAAGTATTTCGTTCTTAACACAAGTCTGCATGGCGTAGTTAGATTTCTGCCTGCACGGTAGTTTTGTGTTCGCAAAGCAATCAATTTCTTTATTTGAATTATTAGTTATTTAAAATATTTCATCTTTAAATTACTTTACACCTTTTTATAGCCTAGCCTTCAAGGAAACCCGCGGAGGTAAAACCACTACGTTAGGGTAAGCTCTGAAGCTGGACTTTAGAATGAGTTTAGAAGCTGTAAACGACCTTGGGGCGAGTTTAGGATTTGAAAAGCCGAAGTTAGGGTGAGTTTAGGGGGCAAAATAAGGAAGTTTACGTGATCGTAAAGCCGAGTAACGACGTCGGGTAACTTGGGAGCAATTGATCCTGGCCTAACTGGTGACCCACCCGATAGATAGGGCCGAGTGTGGTGCTATGGCCCACGTTAGCCGTCGTATGACGTGTGCTTTACTTGGCAGCTGTACGCGTCAGCCCACTCGTCCCGCCCCACCAGCCCAGCCCACCTGCAGGCTGCGTCCAGCGCCCACTCACTCTCACCCTCTCTGCACACGTATGTACTCTGCACACTGGTGGGCTGCTGCACACTGCACTTCACGCTACTTATAAGACTGCCTTTTTTCTTCTGTATTGTTGTTGCCATTGTTGATCCCTGTAGATTGTCTCTTCTATTGTATTATTCAGCTTTATATTGTCAAGTTTGTTACAATCATTTTAATGCATGTACAACAGAATATCTTGATAACATACCTACACTATTCAATATTTAATAGAACAGTACAGCATAATTTTTATTCTTACTGTACTGCAGAATAATTATTCAGATTGTATCCTGTTGATTAAATGTATGTTGGTGATGCAGGGCCGCTGACGACGAAGGTGTGGTGATGAGGTCATGCAGATTCCTGGGGCGAGTGATGAGGGCTTCGCTGCCCATCCAGGCCCTCATGTTCCTCATGTTGGGCGTGGCTTCCCTCATGCCGAGCTCCGAGGACGACTACGCATGCAACATGGCGAACAACTTCGCCAAGAGCCTCAGCCCCATGTTGCACCACAATGCTCCGCCCCCAACATAATGCTAGATGACTTTTTGAACCCCTAACATGACTCCTTGCAACCCAACATCTCTCACCGGACCCCTAACATGATGAGCAAACTCTCATTGTCATGACTTTACAAAACTAATGGGATGTTTCCAATCCATACGAAGAAACGGTTCTATTTTACCAGGAAAAACGGGTTGTGTGGGATGCCATTTGTGGTTGTCGCATGACTGTCCCTGCAAATGAGCCAAATAACTGATACTTTGATGGGCCACGTGAAGGAGTTCTACGTGGGACCCTACTTAGCATTCCTACTTGAATGAGATCGCTGTCCTTAGTCGACTCTGTTTTATACCTCGAGGTTTTTTTTCACCTCGGCAGATTTAATTTTCTGTGTTGAATTTATGATTTGCGCTTGACGATCGGTGAGGCTATCTTAAATTATTTAATAATTTCATGACCGCATTAATTTTATTTCTCAGCCGATAACGTTGGATAGCGACGAAGGAATTCGTTCTAAAAGACGCAGTCACCTTATACACGCGACCAGCTGTCTCGTTTATCAAATGATATTAATGAATTATTTAAATGTGAATTTAATTCATTGTCAGTTCTTACAGAGTATAAGTAATTATATTAGGCAATTACACAAGATGATTTCAATGCCCTTCCTCGTGGAAAGACGATTTCCACATCCTCCCCTCTCTCTGAGTATTCCATGTCCCCATCACGCGAGGGCGAGGCGTTCAATTGGAAGATGACTTACTTCGTCAGTTCGCCCGGCCTGACGTAGTAGACGATCTCGGCTCGCGTGACAGCTTGTGTAATGAAATGCGTTCGTATCATGAAGCGCCGACGTAAGCCAATAGTCAATTACGTTTGTATGCGTCGTACGTTGTGTCAGCGCAGCAAATGCGACATTATCGTGACGTTTTATTCTAATTATGACGTAAGATTGCTTTGTTATTGTTGCCTTCTTTTTATTTGTTCGCCGCAACCGTTAATTGTTCACACAGCTGAGCACGGAACTCCTTGCCGTTCACCATGGTGGTGTTCCACGATAGTTTTAAATAAAACCTTGGGTGATGTTTGTGAATCATGCAATGCTACTCAATTTTCTTCTTCACGTCACGGCAGGTTCCTCCAGAAATCTCAAGTGTATCAAAGTACGTATGACCTTGGTAGATGTACACTGTACATACAACATCGTAAGTGCAGTGGGTGCCCAGTTCTGAAGAGTTAACGGTTGCGGTGTTGCTTGCTTTTATCCTTTGTATTCATTGAACGTAAGCTAAGAATTTTAGGGACAAATTGTGATTTATAATTAGTGCTTCGTGGGTGCTATGAATGATTGTGAATTAACCATTATATCGTAGACGGTTTACGATCATCGTTTGCCGTCACCCTTAGTCCTCGTGAATAACTTCTAATGATCAAACGTTGCTGCTTTACTTTCGGTGCTATATTGACCAGGATTCTTGGTATCAGCTTTTCTTATTCTTTTATTTGTAAGTTTGACCAGCATATGTTAGACCTTTATAAAGTTGTGCCGTATATTAGTTCATGTAAGAAGGTGAACATGTCACCCGTAAAATGAAATAGTGGAGTGAATTATAATGAATATAATTATTGGGTGAATTATAATGGAGACCCATTAACCGTAAGACGTAAAGTTATGAACGACGGTTATATTACATAGCTGTGATTGACGCCTTCTTATATAAATATTAGCTCGGTGATTAAGGCTTCATATGGCGTGAAAAACATAATCTATGATACAGATGGCACACCTGTACGCTGCCCAAGTTAACTAACATGATTTTGGAGAAATATAATTAAACCTCGAACAGATGTTTTATTAAACAATTTCTATAATACATAATTGTTGAGTAATAATTTGTGATCAAATGAAATTATTAGATACATCGTATTTTGATGCTGTACAGAGAAAATTATTTTCAGAGATTATGTATAACAATTGGTTTACAGAAAAGATAGACAATTTAACAACTCCCACGTACACTGTGTTGAAAAACCACATTATTTGAACCGAATCAATTTATAAAAAATATATTCTTGTCGGTTTAAAAGCAAATTTTTTTACACTCAGAATATTTTATCAACACTTTTTCAGCTGCCATTTTCAAGAAAATTGCGAACAGCGACTCTGGTAAATGATACAAGAATAATGTAATCAAATATGTAAATCTAATTGAATAACTTTCCCACCCCTAAATCGAGCTGAACAAAGACAGCAAATATCAATAAAAAGATGTTTAGCTTGACTAAACAAACATAGTTGAAACTCCTAACACTGCTGAGCAACTGTACGAGTGGCGAGTTGAATGATCAAGCGGACGCTATCACGCAAACGGGAAATAGTTCGATGACAGTGATGATGGAATGATCTGAAATAGAAATGAAACGATATCATCGATAGCAATGGCAAGGATGTAACGTTGCGCTTTCAGTGATACAAAACTGATGAAATCTGACGTCTACTATTTGTAAACGACCGATACCTTGCCGAAGTTGAAAAAAATAAAATGAACTATCTCACAACCTACATCTATACTAACTAAAACTAAAAACTATCATTATCTTAAATAAGATCGTTTGGACGGAATCGTTCACTTTAAAGCAGAGTAGCTTGAGCTAGCGCCTATATATCATAAGATATATTCAATGCCAAAAATTCTAAACCTACCTCAGCTGGCGACTGAGAATTCGTAACACCTATTCTATAATAATAATTTTAGTTAATGCTGCCCACAGGCACAATAAAGCTTGACGCCCTTCAACTTATCAACATTCGCATGCTAGATGCATATACATTTTGATCGTTTACACAAGAATGTTTAACAATTTAAATTTTGAGACTTGGACAAACTATATATATGAAAATGTATATACAAAACACCTGGTGCTTGGAAAGGAAAAGATCCGTTACAACAAGTTGAGAGGAGGGATTAAGAGAGGGTAAAAATTGTTCCATCTAAAACATAGATGAGACACATGTTAACAGGGCTAAAACCTTTTCACGATTGGTCTTTTTAAGTATAAAGACTTGCGCTCTAAATTAAAAAAATAATAACTTAAGTGGTACAGGGAAAATTAAACCGCGCATTAGACGATGTCTAAGGAGACGACAATTTTTTTCCGTAGTTGGAATCTTTTCTAAGTGGCACAAGGCAGCGCGTCGCGTGCAATTACGCATGAAAGTTCTCATTATAAATGCCCTCTAGAAAATGCACGCTTGGAACACGGACGGAATAAAAACGCACCAACAAGCGTCATTGCAGGCCACCTGCACCATTAACTATTCAATAGTTGCCGTATTTTAATTTAAACACATTGTATGTGTTTGGACACGAGAAAAAATGACAGCATAACTGGTAACTAAAATAATTTTGGAACAAATTTAAACATTGCACAATTTAGTAAACATTGCACAGTAACACTCAAGTAGCTCTAATGCTCCCGACAATCGGCTGTAGTGTTCAGCAGCTGAATGTTTGTACTTCATGCACTGACGCTTAGAAAACACTGCTTAAAAGCATCAAGTTGCAAATTGAAAATCCTCCACGCCATTAACTAAAATTTGATTGCCGACAGCATTGCACGGACATTATTTATTTTACAACTTGTATTTATTGCAACGATAGTATTTTAGCTTATTTAAATGCCACGCCCTTAACATCTTTTGCTCAAGCAAAATGGCCCATTGATCCATGCTTTCTCGATTTGAGTCCTTCACGAAGCAGGCCCCCTAGGTGGGTGTATCACGACCCAAGCCAAGGGTGGAGGGTCCCTATGAAGCCAGCGCCCTCCACGCCCCCATCAGCAAGGGCAGTAGTAGGACAACCCCCCCTTTAGGACCGTGGGGGCCGGAGTTGCAGTTATCCTTGTCGTTGCAGGTGCAGTATTCCGTGTGCAGGTTGAAGGTCCCGCTCCTGTAGATGCAGTAGCGCTCATCGCCTCCCAGGCCAGGCTCTCCTAACCGTGCGCAGTCACGGCGGTACCGCCACTCGCCATAAACTACAAAAAAAAAAAAACTACAGTAACACCACACGACTAAAGAAAATTAAACCTGAAAAAACCTTAAGTCTTAAAAAAATAGAGGGTAGGAATCATGGACAATAATGTAGTGAGAGAGGTATAAATATGCACTAATTATATCTTATAGCACTGAAATCACTCGAACTTCATGCATATCTTGTACCGCACACTTCAGTGACTTCACTAACTCCCCTTTCAGATGGTGTGGCAAAGATTTAACTCACTTTTCATGCAGATCTTGCTGGCATTTGATCCCGTTTCGTGCATATCTTGTAGCACAGAAATCACTCACACTTGATGCATATCTTGTAGGTTGTAGCACATACTTCACTAACCCACCTTTCACATGGTGAGGCACTGATTTCACTCACTTTTCATGCGGATCTTGCGGCACATGGTGGCAGGGACACCCCGCAAGTGCGGCAGCTCCTCCTCTAGGGAGCAGTCTTGGGTCTTGGCTGTGCGATTGTCAAAAGGATCTTTGCAGAAGGGATCGGAGTCACTCTGACAGTGCCAGCACTTGATGGCAAGAGCTGCAAAGATTAATTTACATGAAAATCATGGTAAGATATCAGGTTCATTGGCACAATAAAAAACAGACCCATGGGTACAATAAAAGGCTCATGGATACAATAAACAATAGGCACATGGGTACATGCAATGAATAGCATTCTCATGTGTACAATGGACATTTGCTGATAAGCACAACATAAAACATGAGGCTCATATAAAAATTTAAGCCACAAGTGATGCTTCCAAAGGTATAACATGAGCTTCATTATTGCTTAGAGGGAAAATCTCTGTCCAAGAGAACATTGGGAATTGTAACCTTGGGGTCAATATCCTTTCCTGTCACTTTTAAGTTGAAGGAAAAACTTATCCAGTGTCTGTTGCTTCTGCCTTTTTTTTGTAACACTTTTTAATAATGTGACATCAAATTGTTGTTGAACAAGTTTAGGCTCCTTTCCCTACTGCACTACTATCACTCTTAACCTTCTTTGAAGGCACCATTGACTGGCATTGAGAGCTATATAATTATTCAAATTAAGTAGAAAAATTACTAAACAAGATAGATGTGAACAGATGAAGTTGAAAACGTCCAATCTCAGCTGAATCTTCCTCACCACGAGTGAGTATCATGTCGTCTCAATAGCTGGGTGACATGCCCTCCTTTTATTGCTCAGTCATGACACATTAGTTCTTTGTCCCACCTGAAATTTTATTTGTTGACAGAGGCAAATTTTTTATCAAAATACGTCTTTCCTGACCAATTTTTCATTAACCAAGGCCTTTGCCGTAGTTCTACTGTGTATCCAAAATGGGGCATACAGTGTGTTATGGTTTTGGTGCAACAGAACCGGTTACAACAATCCCTTTACTGCAGTATAGCTACTGGTGGTTTTTAATGTGTCTTGAACAACCTTCAAATACCCTCTGTACATGAAATAAAATTCATAGTAATAAGTTAAATGCATTAATTTTACCATGATAAGTGGGCATAAAAAATTCTTTCGTTTACAGCTCAACTAGCTTTACTGTTGGATGTACTGGTAAACACAACACCACACCAATGCTCATCTGATAAATTCCACCTTAAATTCCATCATAATGGCCTTAGACTACCAGCCTCAACACCACTGCTTTTGAGCTTAATACCTGACATGTAAGAATGCTTAATAAAGAGAAAATGTTTATTGACTAGAATAAAACCACAATTTACTGGAGAGCTAGGCAACACACAAACAAATGGGAGCTAATGTTAACAATATGCAAAATGCTGCTCATTTTTGCTCCTCTGCTGCCACTTGTTGGGCATGCAAGCCAGTATGGAATTCTGTATAGGTAATATATTATCATGTTAACAAAAGAAAATGTATCAAAAAATTCACCACCTTACACCATCCACCAAAGTTACAATTGATACTCTTACACTGAGCTCGTCAGAAACTGCGGACACCCAGACAGCTGCACTTCCTTTAACTCGCTTGCGTGTGGTTCGAAAATCAATAAAAAGTCGGCGACTCTTCCCTCCAATACATACACTAGTCGTGTATCCGTATCGACAAATTTTGTAGAAGAATATGTTCCAAAATAAAAATAAAAATTACATAAACTTTAGCAGAAAATTCTCACGATTTCACCAATACAAACAAAGTTCTCGAATCCACACGGAATGATGGGATAAACTGTTAATCTTTCACGGCGTATGGCAACATTGTGTTGACTGTTGACATTAGACAAGATGGTGTCAGACACCTTGTTTTGGTCTTGTAAAGTTCAAATTCATAATAAATAGATTTGATCCACATTTCACAGTGACATTTAAATGATGGAAAATTGTTTCAAAATTTAAACACCAATTGATACGCTTCTAAATACGAATTTATTCATGTTTTTGCCCTATAATGTCGAATTTGTCTTAATAACTTCACTTCACTTTAAATCCTGAATGATTTTGTCTCCCATGGCGAGTTTTCGAACGTCTTTTGTCTTTTAGAAAACGTTGGTTGTTTATAAGCAGTAATTATTTTATTTTAATGAACCAAAGAAAGTTTAGTCATTGAAATGACAAAATCATTAAATTTAAAATATCAAGTTATATGAGTGAGATCATCAATTATCAAAGAAGCTGTAAGAAAAAAATCGTTGTTTTTGATGTAAAAGAATGTTTTTAATTTAAAAGAAATGAAATACTTGATTTTCAGAAATACGATGCAAAAATTAATGATCCCTATTAGAATTCAACAGACATGACTCATTCAGAATTAAATTGAAAAAGTAGGTACCTATTTGAAATTTATGATTTTACAAATGGCTTAATTGAATGCAGTGCAGAAATTCAAGATCACCTATGAGTATCAATTTATGTCTCATGACTGGAGATCTCAAAATTTATTGTACTACCACGTATGTTTGATACACAAGCTTCTTGTCCTTTTGATGAACAGAGTTTATTTAGGTTCTATTGACTGTAATAGGTAGAACGATGCGACATATTTGTGGCCATCCAACGATCGGTTGACGGCTTTGACTCTTGATACCACCGTACAAATATTGCGGTGGACACATCTTCCAGAAGTTTCAATGCAAAGATTCTTATTTAAAGGATAATAAATCGATTTGTAGTTGTTTACTCGAATTACTCCCACCTATAGATATAAATGAACATTATTCAATTTATTTTAAACGTTTTTCATGAATTCGCATTAAAATATTTATTTTGAAATCAACCATGTCAAAGTAACGAAATAATTTGTTATAGTTTTAGGCTTCTGAAAATATTTCAAATCGCTTTCAGAAATATCATAATTAATCATTCTCTTGCATTGAGTATATTAACGTTGTGAACCATGCCGCCGCTGACGCGATCGTCATTCGTTTTCGCAGTTGCATGCCGGGCGCTTGCTTTTGTTGTTCTATTTAGTCTCGCTCCCATGAATTGCATGTTTCGTGTCATCGTGTGTGCATCATGGAAAAGGGAAAAGTAGTCACGGTAGCTGTAATTACTTTATTAAGTTTACTTCTTTGCAGTCATATTAAGAGACAAATCTTTAACAAACTAATACTTTGTATAATTTTAATTGTAGAGTGAAAGCTGCGCCTGCAGCCTTGCTGGCACGCAACATTTCCAAGTGAATTACCTTATAGAAACTTAGCATACCCAATTACCCATACGTGTTTTAAGCCTATAAGAAGTTCATTTTTTTGCCTCAAATAATGTTGTATCGAAAAACTGGTGTAGGTGTATCAGGAATAATATATGAACCGTCAATATTAGAATTCCATCCTGATGCAAGCTATCCATATATGGACAAGCTTTGGAGTTGAGGATAGCTTTGTATCATGGAGACGTTTGTATCATGGAGACTTGTGTGGCTATATACTTATTTTGTAGCAGTACAGATCTGACCAGTATTTTAAGGTATTATATATTGACAAGAAGGAAGCTAAATGCAGCATATATCTGCCAGGGTGCAGACTTTGGCAAATGCATTGCCAAGTTATGGTTTTCAAGCCAAAAACAGGGCCAGCAGTATTCAAGATGCATTGCCACATTGCCAGCAGCATTCAAGATGCATTGCCACATAGCTAGTAGCATTCATGATGCATTCCCACATTGCCAGTAGTTTTCAAGATGCATTGCCAGCAGCATTCAGCCATCACTGTGCATCTCTCCTGCTACTTCTGATTACTTACATCCATCAGCCCTAGCAATCAGAGCCAATCATAGCTCATTGGTCAAATCTATTGTTATGCACATATGTCTGTGTCCATCATCACGCATCAGCCATATATACTGATCCTAATGCACATCTCTGTGCCATTCATTATGAATCAACCATACATATCCATTGTAATGTACGTATGCCTGAGCTGATCATCGTTTTTCACCATATTGATTTTAATGCGCACTCATCTGTGCCAATTACCCTATTTGGAATAATAGGTAGGAGTTTTCTATAGTTTTTGGAAAAATGATCATTTCATGGGTAATTTTAAAAAATTGCTAGTGAAAATATGCCATAGGAAGGTATAAAACTGGCCAGATTTATGTGCATTTTTGTTGAATTAATGAGCGGCTTCCTTCTGCACAATTTTTCACTTTGGCTGATTATCCCATATTGGCCGTATCAATCATAATGTACAGGTGTCTTTATCGTTCATCTTGCATCAGTCATTTTGATTGTAATGCATATAATATTTGCTAGGTAGATGCATTAACAAGATCTGAAGATGTAAATTTTGCTATTGATGTGTTGCTGAGATTTTTAGAATTTTTTTTTGGGGGCACCCTGGTATTGGTAATATCTGCAAAGTGCTAAATGTCACCTCAGGTCATTGTCATCTGACAATAGAATTTTCATCAGAGGCAAATTTCATAGGTCCAAAATTGCTAAGAAAGCCCTAGCTATGCTTTATGAAGTTGATTTTTCCCAACTAACACACTTAGAAGTTAAACATGAATCCAAGAAATAAAGATAAAATATGCCTTTAAAAATTACTTTTTAAATACAACACTTCTAAAGAGGGCAGTGGCCAGAGTCTGTGATGTTACACATGTACAATGAATTTCTTATTTCATTTTAAAATATTTATAAAATTCAATTTTAAAATTTTTCTTCAATAGTGAAAAAATTGTCTAATTTTTCTTCAATATTAAATATATTTTTAATAACATTTCTCTTTAACTTCACTTCTTGTTTGTCTGTCTGCTACAAATCTTATATTCAATATTAAACACACTTTTACCTCTCAAATTGATCTGAAATTTTTCACACATGTGTAAAATTGGAGACAATGCATGAATCAATTGACAGAATAAATAATTTTTAAAATTCTAAAAAATATTTTATTTCAATTTAATAAAATTGAAAAAAATAATTTCATCTTCTACAAATCTTATAATCAATATTCAACACATTTTTTCCTGTCCAATTGATCAGAAATTTTCTACACTTGCGTAAAGTTGGAGGCAATGCATGAATCAATTGACAGAATAAATAATTTTGATTAATTTAATTTTTTAGTTTTA